AACTATAGAGGAAGGAAGGAAAAAGCTTTCAGCAAAAATTTGATTGTATGGATTAACTTTAGTTGTATATAGAATATTGTAATTGAACTTTGAGGAGAAACAATACTAGCAAGAAACACCAACAAACTATTTTTGTGTATTGACCTACCTCCGAGGAGTTCTTGCTTTTCCGTTTTCCAGTAAACCCTGGTGACTAAAGTCATCATAAAGAGCACAGTTAAATGCATTGAAATATAACGTAATGAAGCTTAAAAAATGGTCTAGACAGGTGTCTTACTCATGACTTATTGAACACGACGGTAAGCCTTGTAGGGTGATACCAAAATTGATTTACCTTGATCCACTCATGCTCCAGACACTCGTCTACTTTCATTCTTTTTCTACAGAGAGGATAATAACAAAGCTTTAAAACGATTCCTAACGATAATTTCATACTCTATGAGATACTTGTTTCCAAACAATTGAAGAGAAAAGATCAAAAGATTTAAAATAACGGAACCCCACGAAAAAACTGAAAGAAAAGACAGAAACAGAGCTGATCCATTGATGGAGCTAGAAGTGAACGTTTTGTCGAGAGATGGTATTAAAAAGAAAAATTTTTTAAAATCATATGAGCAAACAAACCAAGCAATCAATGTGCCAACGGAAAATATAATTGTTGAATTTTTGGCCCGAATTGTTCTGACTTGCGCACTGGCTATTGTTTATATTGCACACTTATGTTATGCAGAAATTTCTTCGACTAGAAAACTCTTCAATGTTGTCTCGCCACGAGATGAATTAGATCCCCACAGCGTTCATTACTCCATTGAACAAAGCATTGAGTGAAAAAAGAGAAAGGATTGATTCATTAAAGCATAAGAATGCGGGTTCATAAGCACAGTAACCTATGAATTTATATTTTCGTGCTACTCATGTTGCCGTATAAACGCTACAATTTCATAAAATGTAATCAAGAATCAGCAAATACTTTGGATCTTTGAGAAGTAGCCTGGTTATGAAGTCCTTGGCCTCCTTGCTGACGTAATCAAACACGTCCGTAAATTCCCAGCGTGCATCGGTAATGCGCGAGAAAGTGTCTGCCTCACTCTCACAAAGAAACGGAGATTCGCCACTCAACCTAAATTGAAAATTCACAGTTAGGACTCATTTTGTGGCGTCACGTAAACAAGAAAACGAAGCTTTCGTCGTATTAATGGTTGATTTAATGATTAGATTGATAAAGTAAGAGCTACAAGTGTTTTAATTTTTATGCATATACGTATAGGGGTAATCATCTTTTGGAACACTTTCATGCAAGAAGCAAACACTCAAGTCTTGGCCGAAAAAATAAACTGAATACATTCCTGAATAGAGGTTTCAATCTACAGATTTCCACTACTGGTTATAATATTTTCCTTTACAAGACTAGCCATACTCACATAATATAAGCAATAACACCAATCGCCCTGAAAGCAAATAAAAAGGATAGATTTGCATCAGTTATCCGTCGACCGATATAAAATGCCCATAATTAAAACTCAGCACATGTGACTTATTTTTAATACTATTACCACTAAAAATCTTACCACATGTCTGCTGCTAAGGTTACAGGCTCGTAGTTGACAATTTCTGGAGCTGCGTGTGGAAAGAAGGGCACTATGTCTCAGATAATTTTCAAGATTAACCTGGTTTCGAGTTTCACCAGCAACTTCTTAGTACAAGAGGATAACTCGTTAAAGTTCCATGCTAATATGGAAAAGAACGAAATAAATAGCAAACAGACAAGAAACAAAACTACCAGCACTGACCAGCCTACACAAAGAAAACGTCAGACAAAAAGACAGATAAATGACTTTGTTCATCAACCGAGGTAAAATTACCAACGTATTCAGCAGTTCCGAACGATATCTTTGTTTCTTGCTCAGGATCAAACTTCTTTGTTAGACTGAAATCGATCAATTTTATCTTTAAACCGCCTTCATTTTTAAACATCACGTTCTGTGGCTGCAGACGAAACGAAGACGAAAAAAGAATTAGTGTTAATTTAAACAGAGCCATGACAATGCTGCAAGGAAAATGTTTGGAATAGTTAAGTCGGTAGTGAAGTAGCTTAAAGCTCCGATGAAATGAGAGGGTTTTTGACGTTAGTTTGAATGAGACTCAGTTCACAGATGAATTCTCAATGGTGCCGTTGACTGAGTACACAACTTCCAAATCGAGTTAGGATGCTGTTTGAATTTTTTTTTTAATTAGAGGATAAAAGACGATGAATTGCTAACCTTTAAGTCTAAATGCATGAAACCAAGGTCGTGCATGTACTTGACAGCCTCCAAAACTTGTTTGAGGATTTTTACTGCTTCGAACTCAGGAAGAGAATCGCCATCAATACGATTGAATAAATCACCTCCTCTGCAACTGAAATAAGGCAAATCAACATTGCAGTTAAAGAAAAGTAGCTAAATTTATCCACATTTTATTGAGAAATGAATCAAAAGTTCACAGTGGCGACCGAAAAATTCGAAAAATATCTAAGTGGGTGGGAGAGAAAATTGGCATCACTCTCGTCGAAAATGAAACATGCAAAGAGCAAAGAATTTGTATCAGATGTTATACGTTTATTTCGCGCCATGCTGGGGTATTTTAGTCACTTCGTTAGATGTTCTAGAATGACGGTTACGAATAACGTCATACCATACGAGCATTGGGGACGAACGATATGGTTCGCTACACGGTATCGACGGTATCTATTCAAAGTTATTTGGTAAATTACTATCTATAAGCTAAGCAGACCAGCTTGAAAACCGTCAGTGAAAGAGACTTTAAGGGGATCTAGATGAAAAGAGGCATGTTAGTGTATCAGGGCATACCATTCTCTTGGCAAAATAAGGTCCTTTTTCGAGATGAAGGACATTTTTTATATGCACCGTCGCCAAATCTGCTCGGACTTAGGAAATATGGATGAACCTGACCCGGTAGGGTCGGTAGATTTCACGATCTGAGTATCCATTTCATCATTAAAGCAGCAAGCCAAATTCAAGATTAGTTGCATAAAAGACTCGTCCAAGGTAACTTACTACTCCAATATAAGGATAATCTGCCTGGGCTCTTCAAACGCATCGTAGAGTCTAATTATCCGGGGATGGTGAAGGGTATTCATGACGTCAATCTCGCGCTTAAACTCCTCCTTTTGACTAGGTCGCGATTTGATTAACTTAGCACAGAACCTGGTCGCAGTGTCAAGTTCGACGCACTTCTTAACAATCCCAAAACGACCCCTGGGTAATCAAAAATATTGTTTTACGTCAGTGAAATGTTAAGGTTAAGTGCATCCTACAAATGCATAAAAACTCAGAGCAAGCAGAAAGACGGGTTGGCTATAACCGCCAATTGCAGCTGAGCGCAGAAAACGATAAAAGGAGAAGGCATGAAATTCCGCATGAAATTATTCAAGGTACACCTGTTCTAACAAGCTGACGAGTTATAGAAAAAAGCAATGTGGCTGACCGAAACACTTTTTCGCAAGGCTCGAAAGCCAAGGTACCAAGATTAAACCTTAAAAGGTAAGTAAGGACCTAAAAATGGAAAAACATAACTTTGAGAAGAGTAGGATGAGCCACAGAGAGCGATAGTAAACGCATCAGGATTTCTATGGAAATAATTCAATTCCAAACAGAATCGTTATTAGCCCTCCCATTGTTAACATACCTGCCAACCTCTTCTTCGATACAGTAGAATTTTTGTACATCGCCTTCGCTAATCGCAACAAAATCTTTTGGTACAAATTCATCTTCACTCTCTGACTCAGTCTCTTCGTCATCCTCAGACAAGACGCTTTCCACTGGGAAAACAAAAGTTAATTTGAAGTCTTAATCTTCAATATTTAGCCTGCTTTGTTGATCTGGAGGCGTTTATTTATTAAAATCATGTGCGATTTTATACTACAAATGATGTAGGACACGCTGAAAGGGATATTAAAAAAAACTGATTTTATGTAGAAGTTTGATGATGAGGCTTAGAAAGTGAGACAACGTGAGAGACATTGGTGTGTAAGCATACCTTCAACGGTTAACCATCCTGCACACGTGACTCTTCCAGCCTCATTCTGAGCTACGCAACAGTACTCTCCGGTGTCGTCGTCCTCACACTCCCGAATGTTAAGGGTAAATCGGCCGTCTTCGTGTTTAACCACGGAAACACGATCGTTTTCAGTTATGTCGACGGCATTTTTAAACCATTCCAGTTCGTAGGGAGAGTCACCACTGACAATCACCTCAAGAGTAACGTTGTCATGTTCACTTGCTGTTATGTCGTGGAGTTCTTTCTTGAAAACTGGAACTTCTATTTGAGTTTTAAAAGGTGATCAAAAATTAACATCATGATCAATTTAATCTTTAAAAACACCAACTTCAGCGAAGGCCATCGACCTTTACCTATAGAGTTGTCTATTTCTTCATCTTCCTCGTCGGTTTCGTCGCTTTTCGAAAGGGCTGTAAACGAAAATGAGTTAATCAATGTAATCATTCCTATGGTTATTATCATTACTTTTGTCTTAATATTTAATTTCAGAAATTTAACGTCATCTACTTCTCCAATCGAAAGATCATTCGATACAATGAGGAATCATAGCCTTGTCGATTGGCATCACAGATTCTATGCACGCTACTAAAAATGTTAGATGAATTTGCTGATGGCTATGACATTTGAATATGAGGTAGCCTTAGTTTATACTTACAAGACCGTTGTATGGAAATCGTCCCTGTACTTATCGCCTTTCCAGCCTCGTTCTTAGCTACGCAAGAATACTCTCCGCAATCATCATCTGCTATATCCTCGATGAGGAGCAAATGACGTCCATCATCATGACGTTCAACCTTCAACCGCTGGTTCTCAATTACTTCTACACCATGCTTAAACCAATGAATCTGACAATTGGTGTCGTTCTCGATGACAACTTCAAAGGAAGCCGTTTCTCCCTCTGTGATAGAGAGGTTACTTAATTCTTTGCTGAATACCGGTGGTTCTGTCAATTAATTAATCAATGACTCAGTCAGTCGAATTAACAAACAAATAATCCATGTATGATTCAACTGGTTGATTTAAACCCAACTGAAAAATCATCTTCTACAGTAACATTTCACATTCCAGTCAAATGAAAACGACCCCTTGCCGGCAATGTATCAGTTAGTTTGCACAACTATCAGTAAGTTTCTTATTAAGTGACTCAATCAGTCACTCACTTACCCAGGAAACAGTCCAGCTTTTTGTTAAGTTAGCTGGTCTGACAACTTTGAACCACTTACCCACTCAATTGTTACCTCAGTGAATCAAGCACACTTTCATTCAAGCACGCACGAACGTACACACGCACTCCCTGACTCATCTCCCTCACTCATCTCACTCACACACCGAGCCGCTTACGGAATTTTCAGTCAATCAGACAGTCAGTTAGTCATTTAAGCCACTAAATCAAACATAAGAGAAGCTAATGAATCATGGATTCAACTAGGTATTCATTCATCTCGCTCAAGGCTAGTCCGTTTGTCAATTAGCCGGCCAAAGGTTAAAACAGTCAACTTATTCTGTTCATCAATTGTAAGATGGTTTAGACACTTGCCCTTCGGTTTTTCCTCATCATCCTCTTCTTTTAATACGTTTTCCACGTTTGTTGTTTCTCCAGCGTCATTCTCGTCTTTTCCTTTACGAATTTCATTAGAGCCAGTTGCATCTTCAACATCCTCCTTGGCAGAGGGAAGAGTTGGTAACGACGGTGCAATCGAGGGACGACTCTTGAGGTTCATGAGAGACGACAAGGTGGATAATCGACGGACCGCTTTCAGTGCGTTAACAGATTTCTAAAAGGAAAAAAAAACTAAAGTCACTTGACATGCAAGACCTCTGTTTCGATTGCTTTTGGAATAAAATTCTAGGCTTGCATAGGTCGGCAATCATATCTTATGAATTGCTTACAGGAAAAGTATTGCACAAACGAAAATACACCATATCCATGCAACCATAATTTAAAATGGCCAGAGCCGCTGAAAGCGAACCAACTTGCCTTGATGTGCGCTTCGTCGTGAGGACAACTATTTACAAAAAGTAACCAGGGAGCGGTTCGGAGTCTCTATTATATACAATTATCTTGGATCAGCTTCTCCATTCAGAGTCGTAAGATGAGTAAACAAAATGTGTATTTTTAACCTAACTAATGTATTCAATCGTTTCTTTGACAGCTGACATTTTGGATTGCACTGAATTGAATACTAAGTTTTAGGTTTTTGAATTTTGAGGATGCAAACTGAAGTTCGAAGGAGGTATAAAGACTTTCAGAAATAGTTCTGATTTAAATTCTGATCAATTTTTTCGCCCCCCTATTGTAAGCTTTAATTTAAGGTAGTCTGGACGTTACCAATACAAATAATCCTTCGGCAAAAGTAAGAAGTGGGAAAGAATTCAACCAACATAAGGACGAAACCATGTCAAGGAAATGAAAGCTGAGTTTCAAGGAACACAATTTGCGACACGTCTGTTACCATGGCGACACTTGATGATTCCACACTCGACTAACCTCGAGGATTTCATCCTCAGTCAGCATCTTTGGATGATTGGCACATTCGCTTAAGAAGGGAATCTATGAGTACATGATTGTATAGATTTGACTGACGTGATCTGGGTTGCGAGTGCCCGTATTTATCCACACAAGTACCGTGCCTGTTAGTTTAGTTTAGATGATACTTTGCTTGGATTTACCACATTGTGCATTTGTGGCCGACATTGTGGGACTTTCATCACGGTACTATTTTAAGACGTTTAGAACTGAGCTGTTATCGGTGAGTCATTAACTGAAAGGTTAACGCTATCAAATTAAAACGTGTACTCTAATATCAAGGATACGTGCATACGACAATTGATTAGAACCATAAATAAAACTCAGTATTAAGTCACTAATTTACCGTATTGATTTCAAATTATTGATTATTGTTAGTTATTAAAGTCAGCAAATCACGTCAAATCATCAATGTTAGTAATCATTCATTTAATGCTTCATTAATATTTCATAAATATCTATTACAATATGAAAGGAATAAAGCAAAAACAAATTTTAATCCAAAGGCAAAGAGAAATTGTGGAATGATTGGGGAAGGTTTTATATGTTCCTTATCTACCCAAGCAAAACATCGACACAAGTCCTGAAGTGAAACAAAAATATGGTTTTTGACTAACGCTTCTGTAACAGTGCTATTAAGGACTTTGGGCAATAACTACCAGCCTCTCACCTGCCACCTTCGTTTGGCTAAGAATTGTTTTAACTTCTTGGTGTCTATCTTGATAGCGTTTGTTGACGCACTTTTCTGTCAAAGAAATAAGGAAAATAAAACCAGTAGTCAATAAATTGATCATCTAGTTGGCCTTAGCATTGCAACTGTTTCGCACTTATTTAGTTGTTTTCCATACTTAGCCATTCAAAGTAAAGCCAAGCTTGGATTATTGACGGTTTCATATTTTTCTAGTTAAGACCGCTCTGGTTGGACCCTTCCTTTTGAACCATAATTAAACAATAACAATCAACAACTTATGCAAAATAATTTGCATTTTCAAGCAAGAGGGTGAGAATTGATAACAAAAATCAACTCGAGGTGTTGATTTGATCTGACATCGAATCTAGCAGAACCATCAATGAGAAAAAACGTAAGTCACTCACATAGGAGAATTACTGATTTTGACCAGGAATGTGAAAGCTTCAAACCTTGCCGCTGCTGATTTCAACATCAATGAAATGATTATGCAGAATTTATTCAAGTGGCTCTTTAAAAAATACTTAAAAGCATTATCATTTACCTTCATCCATTCATGCTCCAAACTTTGCGTAACCGTGTTCCTTTTTCTGAAGTTTCAAAATAGGTAAATAGAACAGAGATAAAAATTAAAAAATAACATAGATACTGTTATGCTGGTTAGGTATAGAACGTGAACTGTTCAGAAAGTGATGGGTAATAAGAACTCTCATAGAAACCTTAATGTTAGGCAGACAGACATTATCAGTTGTAACTAAACATACTAATCATACCTGGGGCTTTTCACCATTAGTTGAGCAATGAAATCTTTAGCTTCGTCAGAAATGACGTCAAAGCTCTCGTCTTCAAAGTCCCACTCGACGGCAGTCACATTGGCTAGGGTCTCATTGTTATCCTCTCCCAGAAGTGGCGACAACCCACTGAGGCTTAAAATGAATAAGTAAGAAATTGAACGAGTGCATCGTGGTTTTCATGAGAAAAAAGGGTTCTAGAATCAAGTTTACTGTCGCCAGGGAATACTTATCCGCATTACGGGTGTCAAATGAGTCTTATTTAACATAAGTGACGTTGCCACACAGAAATTGCGTTACTGTTGACAGTAATATTATATTTAAGCTAATGTACTTTTCTTTATTTTTTGGAAAATGAGCGACAGAATTTCGGAGATAGATATCAAAGGGAATTACTAAGACATGCTTTTTCGACCTTTCTTAAGGTTTAAACAAGAGTTTTCAGCGAGAAGGGAATTTAAAGACAATTCTCTTTTCGGGTAAATAGATACCAGTGACTTTATAATAAGCCATAAAAAAAAGTCCATGTTTGAGGTTAGACAAGATTAAAACATGGATCGAAAATGATGAACGAGCGAAAAGCTATTCTTTTCGAAGAACAAACCGTTCGTAAAGAAGGCCTTCAATGCTTAGTTCACTTGTTATTTGTATATAAAGCCACAAAATTACCGCACAAAGTTCATATCACATAGTGAGAGATACTTACAGGATGTAAGCTATGACACCAACGCTCCTGAAAGATAAAACATTGAATTTCATCACCTTTATGGTAAAGAGTCAGTCCGTACTCATTCTTTTAGTACTATGAATGCTCTTAAAACTTGTACTCTTGCTTAAGTTCACTTAAACTAAAATATGCATCAAGCGATTTTCATCTGTTGCCCAGGATCGAAGTCGCCACATGCACACCAAGCGAAGTCTCCATAGCAACAAGGAAGTGATCTTGAATGTTCTTCCTGGAACAGGTAAGAATCTTTTCCAGAATCCCTTTCCTTCTATTCGTATCCTTATTAGTGGAGTATATGATCTTTTTCTGATGATAAATTTCAATGACCACTTAACTTCCTTCATTTTTTGTTACTGTGTACAACTATATTGTATTAACTATGATTATTAATAAATGTGTTGAGTCAAATAAATAATAAGCAGTTTAGCAATTGGCTATTATTATTGAAAAAAACGACTAAAAAAACTATCATCCTCAACCCTTCCTTGCCTTTAGATCAATTTACTCTTTCTTTTCTATTCATAAAATTCGGTAATTTGATCCTCAAATTTCTGGAACCGCTTCAAAACAGCGAGATAATGGAGACTTAAGACGACTTTCGTTAAACGAAGAGGTATGTACTTCAATTAACCATGAAGTGATCATGTAAAAGAACTTCAAGAACATACCACATGTCAGTAGCCAATGAAATGGGCTCAAAATTGACCGCTTCTGGAGCTAAAGAAACAAGACAAACAAAACATCAAAAGGCAAAAAAAACTAACAAATATGTAAACAAAGTACAAGCATAAGCAGGGGTGGTACTGGAAAAAAAAGATAAAAAGAGATAAGCAAAAACCAAGATGCTGTTCTCGAATAACTTTCATTAATGAAATTCAGTAGTATTTGTTGGGAACATCTTAGAGAAAACGTACCCATAAATTCAGGGGTTCCCTTGAGAGCAGTCACTGTGACCCCCGGCACGAGCTCCTGTGCTAAGCCAAAGTCGATAAGTTTGATATCCCAGCTGTTCTTGCTTACGCATACGATATTTTCAGGCTGCGGAAAAAGTAAAAAGAAAAGAAAAAGGAGGTTTTGGAAGCGTTTACCTTCTCCTTAATTACCAGTACAAAACTTAGGAAGCAAAATAATTATTCCTCGTTCAATCGGTTCTTCCGCACCACTAAATATAGCTCTTCATCCTTGTTGGAAACTCATGACTCGGGCAATTAAACTGCTTGCTTTTTGACAAAATATTTCTTTTACAATACTTATATGAATCCGGTTGCATGGTTTCAAATGAACTTAATATCAGTAATGGTGTATATGTGTAATAAAGGTGAGGAAGTAAGTAGCTGTATCTATAGGCTCTTTGTAAGAAGATTTCCTAACGTGTCGGGATGTAGAAGGAAGGTAGAACAATTTTTCATTCTTCTGCTCAGGAGGTTTTACTTTTTAAGCCTAATGTAAGATATTTCCTACCTTTAGATCTAGATGCACAATATTCTTGGTGTGCATGTATTGAAGACCCTGCAGTAATTGATACATGTAAAAAGAAGCTTCCCTCTCCGTCAAGCAATCAGCATCCGCCACTCTTTCAAACAGCTCACCCCCGGACACACTAAACAAAGAGAAGAAAAGTTATCAGAAAAATCATCTTGGGTCTCCAATTAATCTTCAAAACCCTGCTGGTCTAAGTTCTAACTGAACCAATTTGGAGAGTGAGAGGTACAAAACTAAAACAAATGGCGAGAAAACGTGCGAAAGGTTAATTACATAAAGTGTTATCATCGATGAGTTAAGGGTCGTTATTTTTAAATGAGGCATGCCTGATGTTTTACTCTTACTGGATTCTTGATCGATAAAAGTTATGTCATAAATATGGTGTTTCCCGCAAGGAAGCTTTCACAGGACGATTCCAAATCCTTTTACCAACTTATAAAAATATGAAAAAAATTACAGGGAACAAGATAGCCATCCTTTAACTAATTCATGAATAAAATATAACAGTCCACGTTTTCCCTTCCGATGTATCAATTACGTTTGAATTTATCTTTACTAGTTTTAATAAAATGATACTCACAATTCCATTATCATGACGATATTCCTGGACGTCTCAAACGCATCAATCAATCCCACAAGCCTCTTGTGGTGCAGCTTGTTCATGATATCAATTTCACGCACGATGTCATCTCGCGATGAACCGCTGCCAGCCGTACTGAGCCGGATGTGTTTGGCGGCAAACGTGGTCTTTGAAGAACGTTCTGTAACTCTCTTCACTACACCAAACTTTCCTCTGTTCGATGAGAAACTAGATTTTAGATGTCACGGGACTAAAAAAATCACGTGCAGCTGGTTATGTTACATTTTATCTAATCACAAGTGTGTCAGGAAACGATTTTCTGGTTTTGGTTAAATCATCAAGATATTCGGGGAGGCAAACCATTCCATTGCAAGGTATTCAACACGTCGTCTTTTTTTCTAAAAGGTGTGCCTCTTAGACTCCTTAATGAACAGACTATGAGACTAAGGTTTCTCACCGAAGTAAACAAAAGGCACAACGTTTATCGCCCCCGTTCAATCTTAACAAGTGATTATATGCTTGTATATGAACACCGTTGCTTACTTTCCGATCTCCTCATGGACATTATAGACATCGTCCAGACTGGACTTCTTTAGTGTCACGGGTGGTTTGGGTTCCAGTTCCAGATTTTCATCCGCACCTGGGATAAAAATCACACACATGTAGTTACCTTATCAACGAAAAAATGGTATATATGATAATGCAAAATGACCACGAAAGTAAGAACTTTCTCCCCATATACAGGAGGCCAAGAAAAAAAAAAGCTTAACAGAAACGAGAACACTAAAAGACAAGTAATAGGCTGGGAACATAAGTAGATTTTTTAAAAGCATACTTCCTGCGCTCATAATCTTAAATGAAGTATGTGGTAATCATTACAATGACTCTGCTTGAGAGGCATAATTACACAGGAAGTCAATATAAACCACAACCGTCACAATGGAAAAGAAATCTATAAGTGAGCCATCGATGGAAGATATTTCTAAGAGAGGATTATCGATCTCTCAAGCATCGCCCGGCAGGGGAGAATCAGGAAGGCTTCACAGTGAAGGGCAACTTAAGAAAAAAGGCGAATGTACTGGTATGGAAAAGGGATAAGAATAGGAAAACAGAGGAGGAGAACTAAATGAGTCCAACTGTTTTTCACCGGATCTTGGAAAGATGAAAGATCTTGTCGCGATGACTCGCAATTTTGCGTAGAAAAAGATATGTGCAGCACAATACCAGTAAGTCGGAGAAAGATTCGGCTATGGGTGGTTCGCGTGATGAAATAAACGGCAGTAAAGAAAAAAGCACGTTTATCGAAAGAATCACTCAGGCACGAGGAAATGGTGGGGAATGACGAGAATAGGAAGACCTAGGGGCTCAGGAACAACTGAAAGACTGGATGTGAAGGAAATGGGTAAGCGGGTGACTAGTTAGGAACGAAAGCCAAAACAAAAAATTAGGGACTGAAAAATGGACCCGGCCCCTCAGTAAGAAAATTTGGGATTAATTCAAGTGGGGGAACGGGTTTGGAATGAAAGTAAGGAAATAGTACATGTACAACGGATGAGTAAACTGACCATTAGATGTCAAAAACCTGTGGCGAAGTGCCACTAACAGCAAATGATATAGTTGATGCACAGTTATTCACGGTAAAGAATCATTGTGCAGTCGCCGTATAGGGCAATGAATCGACTTCTAGAGTTTACAAAGTGACCAGGCTCAACTTGAAGATATTCGGCTCTATTTGAAATCATGTGGGTCATATAGACAATATGGGAGAGAGCTGCCTAGAAGACCTTTCTGAAGCGAATAGGGCACATTCGATAACACTCATCCAGACCATTGCAATCCGAGGTAGAACTGTCATCAGCAAGAAAATGATGGGAACACATATTCCTTTTTTTTTTCGATGATTTACTTCTGAAAATATGTTATTAAGCTCCAGGCTATAATGATGCATTTTCTTCCCACACGTTTCCATTGTTTCGCCAACAAACTAAATTTGGCATGTGATGAAGGAATCCGCAAGGGATCTAACGAACCTTTACAGACTCGCTTACCTCATTGTGAGTCTAATAACAACATAATAGTTTACCTGATGTGAAAATCTCGTCCCTGACATTGCTGTAAGCGGGATCCTAAAAGTAAAGAAAAATAATTCAATGGAAAGGCAATGACTGTGTTCTTGTCAATTAATATTATAAAACCGATCAGTTTGTGGTATGCGCAGTCGTTAGGCAAGGTAAAAGCAACCACAAATAATAACAGAAGTCGTTAAGCGTAATCGCTATTTTCAGATTTCATGAAAAATTCATATTTTTTTTTAATAAAAATAGCGTAGGTTCCGTATACATCTATTCTCTTTTTTTGATTCTAATTCATGGTACAAGAGATAGACCGCCATTTTGATAGTAGTTTTCCAGCGATCCAGATAAAGTAATGTTGTTTAAGATCGGTAAAAGTCTAGCGCCTTTAACGCAATTCATCTTCCGTCAAGAGCTAAATAGACATTCAGGAATACAGGACTCGGTGTTGCATACATAACAAAGCTGAAACTATCGAAAGTATTTTGCAACCACAGTTTTTCGTTATGGTACAAGATAAGTAGAAGGTTGCAGGAAATACATTTGTCAAACAACGCTTTGCGTGCATTTGGATTTACCAACAACAACATATTTCAGATTCCTCAGAACGTCTACTACCTTACAAATTCACTTGTCTAAAATGACAGGATAAATATTCCAATGACATACATAATTATGCAAAGAACATTTAGAGAAAAATCATCACAAGATTACTTCGCAATATCAGTTCGAAAGTAAATAAAGAGCGCGTATCTAAATCAGTTAACATCTGCGCTATCTTTGAAGCTAGATACTGGGATTCATTTGATTTTCTGTGCTTTTTCATCTTTTCACACAGACACTTCATCCGTGAACTTTTCATTTGTTTTTATAATGAACTTAAAACTCAAGCAACTTTTCCTTGTCGAAAGTAATTTGTGTGCGATATTGGCGAGCGATGGTAACATTTTACAAAACGGAACGACTTCATCTCTAATGAGGTTACATTAAGGCGATAAAATTTGATTTGGAAGTAGAAACTTACCTCAAATATTGTACTCAGTTGCTCGAAGAATTTGTACATCTTCTCGTTATTTATCGAAAGACGGCATGCAGCTTGTGGAACCCATTTTCAGACGTTTCAGAAATCTCGTCGCTTAAAGCAGATTTAGAAACTTAACTGAGATCCGACCTATCGATGTTGGGCCACATTTTTTCGACGTTGCCGAAGCAAAATCGACTTTTTTGATTGAGAGGTTAGCGCTTCATAACTCTCACACGGAGACAAAAACAGTGCACGGTTCAGTGAATGTATTGTGGTAACGTTTTCGCCCGCGAATAAAAGAGCACACCATTGAGAAATAAAAACGGGATAATTCAATCAATGATTTTTGTTAAATTGAAAAGCTGTGAATTGAGCGGTAGACCATTTCTTGATTTGATTTGCTAAATTTATTGAGAAATCTACCTTCAAAACAACAATTTGGCCATGGAATACGTTATTATTGAGGAATGTTTTGCCTCTCAAATTAAACTTCCACAATTTTTTAGGACAATTAAGGGACTGATCACACCTTTTCCGTTTCAAAGGCGTCAGAAAATACCCCTAAACAATGATCTGGAACAGAAGCAATCGGCTATTGAACAAATATATGAAAGTAGCAACTACTGAGCCTGCCTATGAAAGTACAGATGATATTTTTAATGCATAGGTGAAGCTTAGCGATTTGTCCAATGAACCCATGTTTACCTCCCTTTTGAAAATCATTGAGACTATTTGACCTCCAAAATGTTTGACGAATTTGGCAGCTAAAGATCATTGTCACGGCTCTTGGTTTTGTTGGTTAAATTCACGAGTAAGACAGGATATAAGCACAACTCGCAAAGTACATATTTAAATGTTGCCAGCAATTGGTCAACCTGGCTAGAATATGGTTAACTTAGGCTTCTCGCGGTGTCTTATGATATTTCTCAACCGTATTGAATTTGTAAGTCAGTTGTGATCTCTACATATCTGTTACTGTTCCATGTTCAGCAAAGAGTATTATCCAATTTCCTTCGAATTTTTTGCAAAATGGAGATAAGGACAAACCCACTATACGGGCAAGCAATCATGTGATGTAGTTTTTTTTTCTTTTTTTAAATTCTCCACTATTATTACTTTGTAAACATGTCATTACAATTATGTATTTGTACAATAAAAAAAGCCGAAAATGGTGCACGTATAAGAAGATCTGTGATAGGACAGTTATTCCTTTTGTCGGCCTTGCATTTCTTACAGTTAGTTCTGAGAATTGCGTGTTATATCAAACAGTTTCCCTTGTATGGCATACTCATCCGCTCTCATCACTTGTTTCCATGACAATGCTTAGATATATATAAATATATAGAAATTAATAGTTGGTCACTTGTGAGAGTTGAAAGGTGAAATTTATGAATATTCTGATAGATTGAAAGTTGGAGTATTTTTAGAGACGTACCTCTTGTTCACTTGTCATTTTCCTTCACCTTGGTTATCAATTACTTCAACAATCTGGCTTTTATTCCTGAAATTCTCAAATTCTTTAACTTGAGCCAACGCGTCCTCTTTCTCTTGCAAACATCGTTCTTGTTCAATTTGTAGTTTTATGTGCGTTTGCTGCAACTTGTTCAGGTCAGCCTTGGCATAACCAAGTCTTATTTTTAGATCTTCATTCTCCTCGTCCAACTTCCTGTTTTGAATTTGCAGTGTCTCAATCCGCTTGTTCAGTTCTTCGGTCTCGCTTTGTAACTGAAGAGCAATAAGCACAGTGGCTTTGTTCCTCTCCTCGATCGCTTGGTCTCTTTCCTTAACAGCGTCGCTATAGAGCTCCTTCAGGTGACTATATCGTTGTCGTAAATCTTCTATTTCACTGAGCCCTTGAAAAAAAATATTGCATTTTTAATTAAGGGAAAAAAATTTCTACAGAACACATATATAACAAGGCAAATATGTTTAATGACTTTATTACGATATTAAGTACATCATCATTCTTTCGAGTATAAGCAACCAGTTTGTTGTCGACTGACGATTGTACAGAAAACTCTGTGAATTTTAAGTTAACCTGAAATCTTTCTTCGAAAGAAATGCCTTTAATTCTCCCTCATATATCTATTTATTAATTATTCATTTTATTTTCGAAAAGGTGGATTTGAATGTCTTTTAATCACTGATGGCTACACCAACATTGACAGAATTATCTTTGAAATTCCTCTCTGTTCTGTTAAAATTTTCGCGTACTTTGGGTTTTTAGTCTTGGAGACGCATCTGCTCTGACTTTGGGTTAACGCTCGAAACGTTAGATTTAGAAAACTCTTTACTCTTTGTTTATTTACATTAATAACTCAGTTGATAAAACCAAATTATTCAGAACATACCTTGGCTTGGATTGTTCGTTTTTTGTCAAACAAAAGCTTCTTTTTTTTTTCGACCCGAATGACACTATAATTACCTAACTACAAACAAACCATTCGTAATTCCTACAACTCTTTAACTGAAGGTAAGAATCCAACATCAATCAATTCATCGAAAGCATTCTTCATGAGATAGGAAGTCGCATTTTTGACTCGAAATTTCTATTGAGCTACACTGTTTCAGTTAAATGTAAAGGGAAGGCTAACGTGATTTCGCCAAAGTTTGCCATAAAAAAATAATAATGAGAACGCCTTTATTTAACGCAACTGAGAAGCCATGCTTTTTACTTTGGGTTAAATATTGTTTTATGAGCGGAAGTCAGATTCAAATTTTCGAGTTATCGTCCGTAATGCACTTGAGATGACGTCAAAAGAACGCAAACGATAATTTAGTTGGGCCTGAATTATTTTGTTTTTCATGAACGACAAGTGATAAAAAATGACCGATGTGAACTACAAATAAAGGGGGTAAGTTTCTAAAGAAACTGTGGCGCTGTGTCGGTGGGAGAGTATAACAGGTAATTTAGTGTTAACAACCGAGTTGAAAACATAAATTGGCCACCGTAAAGAGTTTAAAGGCTAACGTTTCGAGCGTCAGCCCTTCGTCAGAGCTGACGAAGCGTTAACGCTTGAAACGTTAGCCTTTAAACTCTTTACGGTGGCCAATTTACGTTTCCAACTAAGTTGTTAACCCTTAATTGATCTGAACTACGTCGAGGCCAGTCAAGATAAACACGAGCGAGGAGCTCCTTGCAGAACGACATATTTCTGTCCTTTTCCTCTTCCCATTCTTTTACTTTTCTCTAATTAACTTTCTCAGAAGTTTCCAAAGTTTTGAGTTTTGGTTCATTAATTGAACAGTGCATAAGCTTTTGCTATGTTCCGTTAGACCATAAACTTCCACAAGACAAAAGAGTGGTTAATTTTGTCAAATACAACACAAGACACAAGCGACCAGCACAAGAGTTAACAAAAGAAACAGGTCGGTTCCTGTTGTTCATTTTTTTTTCCTTTGTAGTAAGCATGAATGGGCATGAAACAGGATAAACAAAGAAACAGGCATTTCCGAGTGCCGCTATAGAATATGATCGGTATGAGTAATTAGGTGTTTTTACATCATTTTGAGGTTTCTAACAAGCAGTAAAGAATGCACGTCTTGTAAAAAAGCGATGAGGCATTGAAAATCTTACACTACAAGTAGATCTTTCGAAGTCTTTCTTTATAAAAATTAATTGTTTCTTGTGCATGTAATCGGGTCAATGGGATGAATGTCAATTACTGATGTTAGTAAAAAATTTTAAAATCAAAATTGTATCGCTGTAAAACTATGAAACGAAGTTATTTCTTTCCCTTGAACTCAGCTGCCTCGATTCCCACACCAATCTCAGCGAATTTTTATTGAATCCCATCAATTCCGAGAGAGAAGTGTTTGTTTGTTTAACTTTCGATGAAATTAAAACACTTTCCATTTCTAAAGAATTCTCTCAACCCATCAACTGCGATGAAGACGATATTTTTACAGCATTCGTCGTGATATTCAATCTTTACGAAGTAACAATCATCGTAACTTTTTGTCTATAAACTAGTTTTGAATCGTCGCTTTTAAATTCAATTTAACAAAACAATAAACACTGACATGATTTGGACTGAACAAACAATGTAAGAATGCAAGACAGATTTGAAACGCTGGAACCGATCCACGATGATTTAGCCACTTATCTATTGGAGCTCTTTGCACAACAGAGATATTAAATGCACGGCATGTTCACAAATCCACAAAAATAACCTTCAAGTAGAATATCGAAAATTTTCACTTTTTCAAAAGAAATGTGAACCCTTACGGTCACCGCCGGCTATTTGGTTGTAGTGACAGTTCAAAAAGCTCTATGAGTTATTATTTAGATTCAAAACAAAGAGACCAACGTTATGTTCGGAGATTATCATAATTTCTTGTGAGATGCTTGGACCTGTCTCCACCTAATACTGATGCATACACGTTTAAGGTTACACCTACCTCGAGCTGCAGTTCAGATGTGGTCTTGTGTTTCGATTGAATGTCTAATTAAGTCAAAATCTTTTTCGTTTTTGTTCGCTTGATTAGCACGGATTCTCGAAAGCGGTGTGCAATGAATAACAAACCGATATTGGAGCCTCGAAGCAAACAATGGACTGGTGGTTTCGGCAATTAGCCCGCAGAAATGAGGACATTGTTCATCAATGAGTCGACGCAAAGCGGAGATGACGAACAAGACCGTCACTTTATTCGAGATTCTATAAGGAGGCCTCCAGAATCTTGGCCTCAATTGAGTTGCAAGTTTTTTAGTTCGTTATGGTGACTTTTCGATCGAACTTGTTTTAGTAAAAAATGAGGAAACAAAAGAAATTCGATAATCATCTAGCATGAAGATAAAACGTAATAACAACATTGAGCGTAAAACTCAGAATTTGATACACTAGTATTCACTTTCATCGCAGAGGATTGTGAAAATTCTAAGCTTATAGTGAGTTACATACTTTTTTTTCTGACCAAAGGTCATTTCAGTACTTTATCACTTGATTATGAAAAACTTCCATGGTATTTGACGACAATGAACATGGTTACATAGTGAACAAATAAATTCATCGGTGAAGTAAATTGTGCAACAATTTTTTTTCTGCATGTAGAGAGAAAGCACATTTGCGAACGCGCTGAAGCAATTTCTATGAATTAAGCCAACCAACATAGCGCACATATCAGTTATATTACTTTGGTTACGATTCTAATTGTTAGATGTGACAAAGTGGTGTCATGCATGGCATAATTAATTCTCTAGACTATCATGTTATAGCGATAAAACTGATCATAACTCACCCATAATTGCTGAAGCGGCTATCCACTTTATTCGGCTTCAAAGATGCGAAAATAAATTAACCTGAATACTCAGCTGAGCTCGCCGAATGTTAAAGTGATGATTAGTCTATGTGCATCCAAATACTGTATCAGAACTTTTTTGCAATATAAGATTTGTCAACGAGTGTTGTCATATTAAGCAAGTTTTCTATCCGCAAACTACTCATTTTCACGTTTTCCAGCGTGACGGTCATCAATTAAGTACTCTAGGACACTAAAATCGACGTTTACCACAAGGAAACGAACTGATTCCTGCGCGATGTGATGTAAATTTGTAGAACTAGCAACCTTTCTGCGAAATACTTCAGTTGCAGACATTCACTTTGCATGTATTCCAAATTATAAGCCCTTTGTGGACATAGGCTTGTGCTTATGTCAACGATATGGTTGAAATGCTTTCAAAACTAAGAGTTGTACATTATAATGGAAATACAGTGCTACATTACCGCGTTTGCCTTTTCTTACCACTAGAACAAAAGGCTTCTCATGACAACTTGAAACGGTGCCTAAATGATACTAACACTGTCTAGAAATGCAAACAGCACGTGAATTCAAGGATCCTTCCTTTCATCTTTATGCGTGCGTTTGTATTTGTTTTCAGTTTTTTTTTCTCTTCTAATTTAAGTACTACAAGTATTGCGCGTCTATTTTGGCTTTCAAACACCATTATCACCTATATATCGACATGATATAACTGTGCTTAACTAAGTTTCTTTCTCAGAGTTTTCACGCCGATCGTTGGAAGATTTTAGGTGCTTGCTGGAAGATCACGAAACTCGATACAAACAAAACAAAATGTCAACTCCACGCTGCTAATTAGAGTTGACAAAAGGAACTTGACCCTGTGTGGTTTTAATTCGTGTCGCATGATCGTACTGCGCGCAACCTCTTTCCACCATCCCTTTCCTCTACCCGGCACTACTAATGTTGCATCTTTAGATTGTTCTCAACCAGCAATATGCTCTCCCATTTCCATCATCACTGAGTGATGTTGCTCGAAATTTATAACGACTGATCTAGCCAAGGTCGTCGTCATGGTTACCTCGTTTGACCCTGGCCCTCGTCATAGTTAGCTGGTTCGATCGCATCGAACTAGGTACGAACTGCAGAAAATGCGTGGCTTTCGAGGAGTTTCAGATCAAAGAAATTTTCTTCAAAGATACTAATATCTTTAGTTGGGTACGTCGCTGTTGATGCACCTCAAAAACTTTAACCTAGTTATTACATTTTATAGTCGATTACAATTTGCTTTAACCTTCTCTATGTCCCTTAACCATCCGCTGTTGCCAGTCTTAGCCAACTCCGGCCGATCATCGAAAACTCATCTTAATATAATTAGAGTCGAAAGGGAAAAATAAACGAAGGGTGTTGAGGAGCAGGTAACGGCAGAAAGAGGACTCAGAACTTGGGAGCGAGGAGGGGTGAGCTTCCCCTTATAATGTTTGTTTGTTTGTTAGATTAAGTTGTTTTTTTTTTTTCTAGTCTGTTTAATGGTTTGTTTTATTTTTCGTTTGGTTTGTTTTGTTTCGTTTTATAAATTACTTACGACCTCTCCAATAGCAATACAACATCACACACCAAGAAGTGACTTCACTATAAAAATAAACCTCATTTTTTATGTATCCCGTAAAATAAGGATAACAAGAACAAATACACCTAAGAGGAAGAACTTAAATTATTACTATACATCTTCTTGTTTATAAAAAACTTTCTCTTTTTCACTTTTCGACATTTACTCAAAGAAACTTCTAAAATATAAACTTAATGAGATACGAACGATGGAAAACATATTTTCTATGGAAAAGTTGTAACTTTCGATTAAAAATTCTTATATTACCTATGTTATGGTCGGACAACATGCATATCATCTATATTAAGAGGAGGAAATATGCATTGAAACAATGAAAATCCTATAAATATTCTGATTTGTTATTTTAAGTGCAACCATCTTCGGCAAAGGGAAAGGTACTATTAACGATATGGATTACATAACTCTCTGATACGTGCCACACGTTTAGGGAGATTGAAATCTTTGGAATAGAGAGATGGGAATATCAAGATTGTTATATGCAGAGTGACACTCGTTAAATAAGTTATATTATTGGTGATCTTCCCCTCTATGGCTGTCCTAATTCATGGCTTACGTTGACAGAATTTTCAAGGCCAAACGGGCGTGCTACTTATCAAATATATAACCAAGCGATTTTCTTAAGACAAATAGTTCAGAATTTCATTACATGCAAATAATCTATATTACCTTCGCCATTAAACAAAGTATTCTAGTGATGGTTATCTTATGATTAAATACTCAGGAGGATTACAGTATCATCAGTTATGGTTACTTGGTAATCACACCATAATAGAGGGTTTAATTTTCAAAGTGAGACAGAAGGAATCTTAACAGACCATGATGAACGTCAGCCTACCCTTTCTTCTGACCTTGCATTTGTCTCTTGTCAATGGACATTTGTAACTTTTTGCTCTCTTACTGATACCTTAATCTAAGTACCCGAAATGATGGATATTAGCATCGTTATAAATATTTCGCATTGTTTTTTCAATGGCTAGCTGATATTGTTCTTTCCAAAGGAAACAGGAATAAAGATATGAAAATGAGCATTTTGCGCTAACATTCATTTACAATAACATGCGCTTACCTGTACCGAGTTTTAGTAACTAACGAATAAGTTAATAGTAAATGCATGTCGCTCTTAAACAATTCTGGTCTTTCTTCTCTTCTTACTGTTGATGCCATGTCGAACGAGGGCAATGCACCAAATATGCCGCACTGCACCGTTTAAGCCGATTGTTCTCTGATGGTTTCAGATCAATAGTCTGTCATCGGCTCATCCGTTGGTGAAACTTTTGTTAAAAAAGGTAACCATCGTGCTCTTGGGGCGATCAAGCATCGCTGACAATCAGTCTGAAATCTTGCTAAGGATTTCGTAGAAAGTCACTTTGTTTGTATTACCTAGCCGGGAGAAAATGCAGTATGTTAAAAAGTGCAACTCACCCTAATTTAATTCAACGTCTGGAGTATTCTTATCCTTTCAAAAAATCCTGGGAAAAAATTACTTATTATAGGTGAAATCCTTACGTACCTACATAGGTCTTAACTTTGGCTTTATCTACCCCACAACCGAGCATTTTGGAACCTTGGGCAAACAATTGCCATCAAGTCATGAAGTAAAAGATTTAAAAGGCATTCTACGCCATATAACTATGAGGTTACTTCTGACAGACTTATTTAGTGATCTTATCACCGTATGTGTAAAAAGGTGATCACGGGAGATCGACTGTTCCTGCAAATATTAAATCTACTTCCATGACGGCATGAAGGGACTCAAAGAAAGAAGGAGCTATTCTTCCCGCGTTAATGGCAAAGAGAACTGCGAAACTAAAAAAAAGCAAATTAAAGCATGCAATATTGAAATAAAAGTACTTTAAATCGGCGTCGATACCATGTCGATAAAAAGTTTGAGCTATAAGCAATTGCCAAGGAAGTCTGCTCTCACCGTTTTCATCAGTGTTGTTGGGTAAATCTCTACTCTCGCGTTTCATGAGTTTGCGGTATCGCTGTATGATACTGCGACGTTCAGTTGACGCTCTCTTCAACGTGGATGGTGCGTCATCACTCATCTGTTCCTCTGACTCAGATTCAAACCGCTGAAAAGTTTGCGTCAGGACAGCAGACTCTACATGTTCTGGAATACTGATGAAAAAGCACAAAATTACGCAAATAATTTAAAATTGATCAGTTGGTTCACAACGAGTTAACTTTAAGTTAAGATCATCAACATTTATGGTGCCGGCTAAAATATTATACATGGTCTCGTCAAGATGTTTCCAAGTGTGTTTGCATTTTTGACAATGCCTTCGACCATTTTGTTTCGAATTTTCAACCTGTCAGAGCTAAAAAAACCAATGGCAGCCCACGACTATCCTTTTACTCTAGCCACCACTCCATAATTTTTTCTCTTTTTAATTTGTCCTAATTGTACACCGATTCTTCCTTTCTATCTTCTACAACCTTTTGCTTGATGAGCCAGTTATTTTTTCCGCGTATTTACCGCTACTTTAAAATGTTCAAAATCTACTTTTTAAAATTGCCCCAAATTTAAAGGTAGTTAATTCTAAATGTATCATTTTGAAGTTGCCTTCAGTCTTTCACCAACTCTGTGCTCCGCAAATAGGAAAGTCAAAACTTTGTGGCTTGCATTCTTGTTAGTAAAGTCATCAATCGTGTTTACCTTCCCATGCAGGGCACCAGTCCTTCCTCGAGAACCTTCCCGTCCTTCCTCGCACGCTGAGCCACCCACTTCCAGCTCTGTCTCGCCTGATCGTAATTTGCGCGCGTGTTTATCACGTGCAATGTTTCTCCAACAGTAAAACTTAGTTCGTCCGGAGCCATTGCCTTATAAGGGTGAATTGTCCTGTACGGAAGAAGATCGGAGATAAACCCTTTTAAAACATCATCTGACTTATTGTACAGTTCTATTGAATTGTTAATATCTCGTTACCTTGAACTTTGAATGTCACGCAACTCTTTCGAATTGGAAATGTCTACAGGAATATGGTGGATGGGAGAGGGGAATTTTGTCAATAGATACAACATTTCAAAATCACGGCATTTTATTGGCTCCCAGAGGCGTGATTTGCGCTCGTAATTTTGCGCCACTTCTGTCTTCCACACATTAAACCACCTCGAGATTGTCAAAAGTTAACTCTTTTCACACTTTAACCGGTACAATATCAAGCAGACGAGTAATGAGAATTAAGAAAAATATCAATTAGGGGATTATTGGTTGATCCAATTCCAAGTTCTCCAAACTAACATCATATCAATTGTATGGTAGACAGTAAGGAGAATCACTTATGAGATCTTGGGAGTTAAAGGGTCAAAAGTCGCCCCTACGCTCTCTATTTACCCACCTGACATAAAGCGAATCGTAGGGTTTGTCTCCAAGGACTTCTTCGTAATCTAATGTAAGAGTAATTGCTTGATTAGATCTGAACAGAATAACACAAACTAACCGATGATTTAGCGATTTAACTTAAAGAAAGTCGATAAATTGGATCACGTTGCCCCTATACATCCAAGAATGATGCTCGTGTGTGAAATTTGAAGGAATGATGAAAGCACGAGAAAAAGTAAAAGTAAAAAGAGAGAAACAGAGTGACGTTCAGTGAAAAAATTTGTGATTTGAAGAGCTGAGAGGCAGCATCAAACTTTGAGTAGCGCTGAACTTATATTCCCGATTGTGGCTACTCTTAATATTTCCATTTCAGATAATTGTAAAAATTATGAACCAGTTGTTCGGACTCTTCGTCGACGTCCCGGACCTGGCTTTTCCAAACCAGCTGAGACGAAGCGGGACAGGGATGGGGGGCATTGCGCTTCCCCTCCCAAAACGCAGCACGAGCACTTCACTCACATCCTGAAGCTACTCGACTATTACAACCTTGAATAGCAGTAAAGATGATAGATGTAATGTGAGACTTACTTAATACTTGTTGAGCCTCGATTCTGATATACGTGCACGTGCGTAAAAGACGAACAATCCGTGTTGCGTGATCCAGGGTCGCTCTGGTGAGATCGTAACTGTTAAGCTAAAGGGTAAGAGATGCAATACACTAATGTTAAATTTGAGCTCATACATCAATTCAGCTTTGACTAAGTTTCTCCGTCATTCAAGACATTAAAGTAAATACTCCCTCATCACACATCACACTAATATCAAATAAACTTTTTCATCTTTTTATTATTTGTTTATAGAAACACCAAATATAAAACAGGGAGAGAAAAACAATACAAAAAAAAAATTTCATTTTTTACCTTCAGCAGCCTATCTCCAACTTGAAGGCCAACGGCCTTACAGATTGAGTTCTCCTGTAATTCGATGACGTAAATACCTACACGGTAACCACCAGAGACTTCTACTCCCAGGCCATCCAACGATTTCTTCTCGAACCGCATTATACGAGGACTGGGAAGAGACAAGTGGGATTAGTTACCAGTTTTTTTCATTTCCAAGATCTGAAAAAAAATTCTCCCTACTGTCTGCTTTACATTTCTAATAATTTTTATCTGAGAATTAGGTATGAAATCCAATGATTTTCCCTGATTGATATTTTCTTTCTTCCAGTTACTTTTCTGCTTGCGAATTAATGGACATTGTAGGAAGAAATTCATTTTGGTCATTCTTGGGGTTGACATAGTAAAAGTGAGCAACATAAGAACTTGACTTTTCTCTGCCTTGTAAAAAATTACCGTACTAACTTTCGTTAATTTTTAGCACGATTCAAAGAGCATTACTGCTCAAATCTGCTAGTTATATTGAGAGAATATTTTGTTCTTGTTTTTGTTTTGTAGTTGCCGAGTTGTAACACGCTGATTAAGAAGATCTGTTTGTTAACTGGCTTGTGCAACAAACTACTTTGCGCTTTGATTAAGAACCATTCTGTTTGTTCTCAAACTATATGGTATTTGAGGATAATTCAAACTAATGGAACGAGTTATTCACTTCAATTGACAATCCCATATGAAACATTTTTCACAGGACAATCGCAACATTTTAAGAGGGTCAGAATCGTGGAAGATCTTAATTCTAATTACCTTCTTCCCAGTGGAACAATCGTTCCACATGTAGAGGATTTCGATAAGTAAGAAGTCAACCCATCATCGTCCACGCGAACAGCAGTGATGGTCGACTGAGCCCGAACTAATGTTCCATCTGCACCCATCGGCGTCAAAAACGTTCCCGACTGCAGTTGCGACGTGCTAACAAACTTTCGGTTCATTGGTGATCGAATGTTGGGTTTTAGAGTGCTATGATTATGCGAATCGCTTTCCTTTGCATCCGTGGAAGTCTGAGAATCGTTCCCAGTCCCTACGTCCGGCCAATCATCTGCAACAATCGTTTCTAATTGAGTGTCAGACGAAGGGCTGTAGATGGTCGTTGGAGTTCGATGCCGGTCGGGCATAAAGAGGCCATACCCAGTGAATCTGTTGCCATAGAGATCCGAGCTCGAATCAGCCAGAGACGAATCATTGTTTGAGCTCATGGAGCCAAGGCTTGAGTTGTAAGAAAATTTGGAGTCACGTGATATTGAGCTGTCATTTGATATGAGTGACAGTCGGTTGTCGCCATTACCGCGTGAGAGGCGTCTTAGTACGACAGTGTCAGATTCGGAGTCAGTATAACTCGTCGGCTAAATGGAAGCGAGAAAAAAAATGTGACATAAATCGTAAATTTTATCGGTTGTAAAATAACGAAGAAGAAAGCCTCGCCTTTTAAACGAAGTCGGACGAAAGCGGAGAGTTTAGAAGATGCTTCAAGAAACAAAAGGAGCATGAAAACGAGTCAGAGTTTCATTGTTCATGTTGTTAACGTCAAAAAGGCTACTAGTGAAAAAGATCGCAAAACTGATGACTCGAAAATTTCTTGAAATTCGTTTCCCCTACATGAACCTACAGCACACTATTCAGCTTGCAGACAACAATAAAAGTTCGCTGTATCATCTGAACGCGAAATTGAATCTGGCTGTGGTTCGAATTCTCGCTTTTCTTTTTTGTACCACGCCCGTAATAAAGGTTTTCAGAAATCTCTTTTTATCTTTCCATTTTACATCAAAAAAAAAATCAATACCACAAAGGAGAAATAGATCTTACTGTACCTTGAACTCACATGCCATAGGTTTTCCTGAGATCGTTCTAGTAACGTGAAGCTTCAGTTTGTCTCCAGACTTCTTGGTAACCTTTTCCAACGAGGAAGCGATTATCTTATCAAGGTGTTTTCCATTGACCTAGATGAGTAAACAGGACATGAATGGTAAGATTTCAATACAATGAGTGCAATGTTTAATTGTACAATAGTAATACCCCGGGACAAATTTTTCACTTTTGCCTATTTATACTACAGGACTACAGCTCTCCATATGACATTTTACTAAGCAAAGTTAACTTAAAATCTCTATTCATAAGACGCCTCCAGAACTTCATAATCACGTTATATGAGTCTGTTATTTACAAATTATCCAGGTTATTTAAAAGATATGTTCACCGTACGGTCTTCAGCCTACCTTTTGGGCGGAAATCATATCCTGGCCCTTCCCAACCCAAAAACAACGACTTACGGTCTACACTCTTTTTCATACGTAGCTAGCAAAATATGGAACTCTCTCCCAGACACTTACAAAACATGAAATTTTCAAGAATTCAAGCAGGAGATCCTCATATACGAAGTTTTTCCACGGTAGATCCACAAGTTATATTTCCCTCTGCATGCATAATGTTGTATATAGTTTATAAATAATATTGGAATTGTAATATAGCATATTTTATTTTATTTTAGCTTATTTTCTCCAAGATATTAGCTCTACAGCTACAATGTGAATTTCGGGCATAAATAAAGTATATATATGTATGTATTTGTATGTGGGCGCAGAATGTTAAAATTTAAATTAGTTTAAGTCAATACCTTCATGACGTAATCTCCAATTTTCAGATTGTTCTGATCCTCTGAAATAAAACCATGCTTTAACTCTTTTACATATAACCCACATTCGAAACCAAGTCCTAGAAGATGTAAACAAATAACTGTTTAGTCCGCATCACATTTCAGGAAAGCTGTGAATCTCTGTCAGAGTTAAGTTTAGCGATGTTATGTAATAAGGACTGAGTAAGCAGGAGGAGAGTAAAGGTACGGAATATCTGTTTGAATTCATACCTTACAACCTTTAAAAAAATTCATATGCACACAGAGTAAATGAAAATATGCGAAAATCATATACGTGAACTGCAGTTGAAGAAACGAATAAGGAAGCGATCCTCGCAGTTATGAACACTAATTAAGTTGTGAAGTAGTTGTGAAAATAGGACCTAAAAAGATTCAGGCCTGTACGGGATTTGAACCCATAACCCGGCTCTGCGATACCGGTGCAGCGCTCTAGAAACTGAGCTAACAAGCCAACTGGGAGCTGGTAAACATATGAAAATCATATATGTGAACTGCGGTTGAAGAAAAGAATATATAAGCGATCGTTGCAGTTATGAACACCACTTGTTTTGGGCAATTGTCTCTCTTTTTCAATGGAAATCATTCCTTCAGTAATGTGCGCGAAATTGCAATTACTGTACATAAGTGAAGTCTACTTTCTATAGAAAGATGACTACTACACTAACCGACTTTAGATTTCTTCGGTGCTTTGAGGTCCAAGTCAAAGCTTAACTGGTATGTCCCAATTTGCCGCTTGAGAACCTGAGAAACGCCATAAGCAGAACGATGAATAACTCACAATTACTTTATGTTTGTATCAAGAGGTACAACATTGGTCATATGGGTTAGTAAATTTTCCGTTCCTTGCACTTTGCCTTTCTTGCCACGCTCTGCAGCATAAACTCGACACTAAATATGACAGATGTTTCCCTATTACTCAGCAATCTCACACAGAAGGGTGCGCACAAAGCACCCCCAGGCTCACCATATTGAGTGTGGTAAGAGCTCCATCCAGTAAAGATCTCACCAGGTTTTGGTCACCCTCTGTTACTGGAATATCGTTGATGGAGACGATCTCGTCATATTTTCTAAAAATTAAAAAAATAATGTTCATCAGCCATTTTACTTTTCTTCTCGCAACAAAGTATACTATAGTGCTAGAATTCGCATCAATGGAAAAAAAAACATTAGCTACCTTTAGTCACTGTGCTTTATGCCTCTCGTGAGGTATACAACATGATCCTTCAAGAGGTAAGGACGGCACTGTTTCATAGTATTTTGTTCTCACATTCCGACTGACAGATTTTGATCGATTCTTTATTTTGTGCTCTTAGAAGTTCGTTTAGACTATAATTAATAGCACCACTATCACCAAAAAAAATTGCAACTTTGATTCTGAAACTCGTAAGTTCGTAAGTTATTGAAAGATGCAGTAACATTTCATCGTTCAATTTCACAATTCAAATGTTCCGTACGAACGAGCTGCGTGCTCCTCCTTTCCTTATACCTTTTTGACCATTTTAAATTCTTTTTTTTAACACCAGAGTACAGCGTCTTTCTTTACTTCCTGTTTTTAATCTCTCGAACTCGAGGGGTTTATGGGAACTAACAACCCAAAGGCAGTGGAGCCTTGTTGGGTTGGTTAAAAATGTAGAACACCGATGAAAAGAAGATTTTAAAATCTATCTATCAATAAACTACGTGTAATCAACTACATCAGTCCAGTAATAAGCTAAATATAAGCATTAATTACCTTATGTTCCTCGCGCTCCCTAAACCCTTGTCAACATCAATTATCGCGGTAAAAGATCTTCCATTCATGGAAACTCGGGCCAATTTGATAGAGTCCAATGGATCATCCTAAATTACAAAGAAAAATACCATCCCTTACTTCTTTTCTGGCCTTTTCGTAATAAAGAACGCATGTTATGTCAGTCAACCCTATAAACCCTAAGAGTGACCAGCATCTAACTTCTCCTCACGGTTTTACTGCTGAATCATACAATAAGATCACGAAAATTAAGGAAATGATCCTCAACCTAACAAAATTATATAACTAATCCTAATCATTAAAATTTCTTGAAATGCGATTGGTGCATCAGCTGCTTTATATATCACTAATCACTCTGTACAGTTATAATCAAACAGTTGTAATCGGACAGCTAGCAGTAATCAGACAACTGTAATCGGACAGTTGAAGCAGCCAATCATACTAGGTCCACTCAGCTGAATCCACCAATCATAGAGTTGATCACAATAACCATAGCAACAACCACTTATTCAAAGAAAAAAAGGCAATTTCCAAAATGAAGGAATTTTGAACTAAAGACATTGTCTCCACCGGAGATATTTGTTTTAGGCGTAATTGTTTTTTCGGAAATTGAAATGGTTATGATTAATTGAGAACAGGATTTCTTGTCGTTCAATTCTGTCTGTAATCATACTTGTGATAAACAAATCGGACTCCCACTTCGTGGTCGTCCAATTTTGTTAATCACTCGTACGATTACAGACCGAATTGGACTCCACTCGGTCCTATTACCATTATTAATCAAATTCTCCCAGTCAGTACTAAAGGAAAGGTTTGTAGAAGAGTATGGAGAATATGGATACTGATATTACTTTGTGAAATGCTAAAAATCTGCGGGAAGCATTTTGGCCTCCAACGTCGTTTTTTCTGGTACCTTATCGCTCCATACCACAATGACATTCATCGCCATTGCCTTCAAATCAGCCTGACAACAATTTTAGTGCCTTCCAAACAAGCTGATATCAAGCCTGCCTATGTTACATGTACAACCAGAGGTGCTCACATATCAACAAACCTTTTCTAAAGTTACACGAATTTCTTCACTTTCGGTGAATGACGTCTCTGGAGACTAAATGAAAAAGAATATTAGAAATTTTCAAATGGCAATAAAGGGCATCAAATATACTGGTTAAGGTCACACTATCACGAAGTAGGGCATCAAATAAATTTTATAATTATTAAGGGTAGATAAATTTTAATTTAGCACAACTCTAAAAAGAACTCACCAGAAGAAAGAAGATAGCTATAGCTATTATGGGTCGATTGAGGGGGGGGGAAGGAGATCTGTCTCGTTTACATTTTTTTTTTGGCTTCAACTACGCCTTCATTGACATTGCATAAGGAAGATGATAAACTATTACCTCAAGTCCTCCACCGGAATCACCCGCACAAAATTTACACTCCTTGAGAGAACACGGAATTGACAGTTCACTAGTGTTGTTCGCACTCAAACCGGTTTTTGCTAACCGGTTCAGCAAGTGATTATACTCCTCTTTCAGTTTTTCTAATTGTTCTGCGGTGGAAAAACATTTTTGTATTGCTTCGTCCCTAGCTTGAACAATGCAAGCAATCTCCCGATGTAACCTCTTTCGTTCCTTCACAGACTGCCTCCACTGTTCCTTCGCATGGTCTCTTTCTCTCTTAAAAGTCTCTGACTTCTCCTCTAGTGATGTTACTCTAGCGTCCATTTCAAAATTTCGTTGCTGAGCCTTTGTGAGTTCAGTGCTCAATTTTCTTACAGATTGTGTGTTCTCGGATCTGTCCCTGAAGGTAATATTTTCTTCTTCTTCTATGGAGTCATTTGAATCTTGCTTCGTGACTTCAATCTGCTCAGATAACAAAGATGTCTCCTGCTTGACTCTCTCTAAGGCTTCCTCTTTTCTCTTTAGCTTGTTGGTAAGATCATCGCGTTCTGCTTTCACCTGCAAACAGAATGTAACGAAAACTTATGAATAACTAACAAGGATGATAACAAATGGATGACACACCGACTGACTGAGTAATGATCAAATGACTGGCTGACAGACCCACAGATTGACTTTGTGAATGACTGACTGCTTGACTGGCTCCCTGACTGACTGACCAACTCATCAATGGACGGACTAGCCCACATGCTGCCATATTGACTCATTAATGGTCAATTAATTGCAAAATTAATTCACTGACGGAATGACTGGCTGGGTTCATGACTAGCTGTGTAACTGACTGATTAACTGACATGGTTATTGGACAAGTCATCGTGATGGTAGGCAAATAAGTCACTAACTGACCGATCAATAGGTGTGCTACATGCAGACCCTCAATTGAACACAAGTCGTTCTAGATTTCTATACAACTCCTTTTCAGATAAAACTTTACGTACTTACATTTGTACCAACTGAAACGGGCTTAATGAGGTGCTCACATAGGTTCCTGACAAGTTAATATTTGTTCGCTTCGCTATTAGCCTCTATATTAGAAAAAGTACTGCCGCATGCTTCCAATCATCTCAGGGAGATGTGGGACGTAACCCAAAGTATAAAGAGAGAACCTTTGTCTAAGATCTTCCGATACTTAAACTTAACTTGGAGGGCTATCATGAAAGACTTCTTCAAGCTCTCATTGATTATGCAAGTCTAGGCTACCGTAACTGGAGTTTTTACGAGTACCTTGGCTTAATTACACTTCGTATCTTTTTTACAATTGATCTACTTTTTTTGATCAACAAATTGCGATGACATCATTTGCTCAAAATTCATTTTTGGAAGTTTTACTTTCAGGCTAAAACTTTTGGTATGCACAAACTTGTTGCGACAATCTACCATGATAAAGCGATCAAAAACTGTTAGTATAATTTTGAATCAGTCTCGCCATCTAACGATATATAACTCATCCAATACGAAACGTGGTAACATATTGAAACTGAAACGCATTGCACTTCAAAATAAAAACCTAACTTTTCATATTATACATCGAAAGTTGTGCGTGCTTTCTTCCAAGCATCGTTGCATGCCGAAAGGAATCCCCCGCCGAAGGCAAAATATCAAAAGCCACAAGACCTTACTTTGCACAAAGGAACAGATCGCGCTGTATTCACACTCTTTCAAAGTGTCATTAACAAGAGTACATGATAAGATCTGTTAGGCAACAATACAAATAGGTTTTGCTCTGCTTAGATCGTGAGATAATTAATATGTAAGAGCAACAAATTAGTCATTCTATTGTGAAATTCATTCTTGTGGTATAGTCATTAACATACTTTAAATTTTTGTGGCGTTTGTCATGACATCCATCAAAGATGGTCTACAAACAGCAAATACAAGTGACATTGGAGGTTCGGAATACAAACTGACTGTACAGTTTTGAACTAAACATGGCACAGAGTCAACTAGAAAGACGCGTTTTCGAAAGCCGAGTAAAGAAAAGAACCTACTGGGGCCTACTCTAGCAAAGCAAATGATCATGTTGATAATTTTATTTCTAAACATTGGAGCGTTCTGTACGTGAGAAGATGCAGTACCGGTCTAGTAATCAGGACGTATCTGTGGTTTTTTAAGAATAATTAATTTCTAACGACGGCCATTTTCTGAACGGTGCAAGTGCACATTTTGTGCCCAAAATTCCTTCCCCCTTTGCTCAAAGAAAACCGCGCGACCATTGCATACTTCAAACATCACCTAAAGTGTTTCTTATATTCGTTTGAGAACAAAATGGCAGATAATGAAATAGGGAAACTCTATAACTGTGTAAACTTCTAAGACTAGCTTTCTGGTTGGAGAAAACGGGCCCAATAAACTTTCCTCGCCAACTTTTTTGACACTGTTGAACCTTTGTGGACACGGTTTGATCATTCAGTTATTTCAATATAATCAGTATTTGCAAGTTCGACCACTACTCCTAATACGTTGTTACATTGTGGTTTCACTGTTATTTTAAACACCATAAGATAGAATAAGAAACAGCTATCAGCTGAATAAAACGCCTCATTTTCTCTCGGAAAAAATACCCGTGTTAGTGCCATTCTTAAGACAATCAGTTCTCTCTGGTCTAAAATTCATAACCAAAAACACCCTGGAGAGAGATCTCTGATTCCTCTATCATATAGTCAAACCCACCTCTATGCCATCATAACTTTCTTAAGTTGCTTCTTAACGTAATCAACCGACTCAGAGGGACTTGACTTTAAACTGCCTCGAATGCGCGCGTGTCTGTGTGATAACACGCGCGCATCACACGCAAATGCACACATGGTTTAAAGAAATCTCACCTTATTCATTTCTTTTACAAGGGAATCTAACTGGTCCAAAGTATTCTCCCATTTACCCGTTGCTTTTCCCCATTCCTCGAGTGCTCTGTCCTTTTCTCTAACTGCCTGATTCCTTTGATCAATAACTGTTGCAAGTTCTTCCAAAGCGACCTCTTTCTCAGTTTGTGCAGAAATAAGCCTTTTCTGAACGTCGTTTAAAAAGTTCTGTTTATCCGCATCACCACCAGAAAGAGCGTCGTTCAGATTTTTGACGTACTTCCTCAAAGCGATGGCCTCCACCACAGCTTTGATCCGAGACTGTTTCAAACGTTCGCACTCCTTACACGAAGAAGTCTTCTGAAGTGGAACAGCGCTTGCTTGAATGGTGGTCTCGAGGTGTTCAACTTTAGAAGGAAAAATCACATTGTCCTTTGTCTCCAGAGGTTCTAATTCAAGGTCACTATACGACATTCGAGTTATTTTGTCGCTTGCGTCCACCTCGCAGTTATCAAATTCTTTCTTTATCTTCGTGCTCAACAACTCTTTCAAATTTTCGATCTCTCGCTCGGCTTCCTTTAATTTTTCGTGAGCATCCACCAGATCCTTGTTCATTTTATCACACTCGTTCACGGCTTTGTTTTTCTCGTCTAAAAGCTGCGCATTGTGATCCCTAAGGACAGTGACTTTTTCATTATCTGATATAGAAATGGCCGAATTCCTCTTATCGTCTCCAGCGGGATGATCTTTATTTGTCTGCTTGCGTCCGCTCAAAGACATCGAGCGGAATAAACGAGAGGACGTTTTTCTCTCGCGCTCGCCTGGTGTAGATCTCTTTGGCATCTCGTTGGATCTTATTTCAAAACAACTGTTTCGTTTGGACGCATCTAGAACAGAGAAGCAGAAACCCAAAGAGCTTTTTAGTACGGTAACTAATAAGGCTTATTCTTGACCTACGGCAAATTATTGCAATGACATCGCGTGCGTGGTTAGCGAGCAGAAAAAGACCCTACTCTCTAGGGTACACTGCGATCAATTCTAGTGGTGTTTGTTGTGGTGATATTATCATACTCTACTGCGTTTATACTTTAAGGTGCGACTACTAACGGGTGAAATAAAAATTTAATGAATTAACGACACTGAACCAATATTTTGCTGCGCAGATTTATTAGCTTTGACAACATGCGCACAAATCCTTACCAAATCCTGCCTATTCACTAAATGTCATGTTTCCGAGAGAATGAAGTCAGTTTGTGTACGAAAGCTGCTGTTTCGCAAACAAATTCGACTCAAAGAAAATCATAACAAACGAGGTTGTAACAAAGAGCACCTAAAGTAAACAGCAGGATTATTTCGCTGTCTGATAAATAAGTTCTACGGAGCATACACAAGAGTAATTCGCGGGCTATATATCTCATATCTTGGGTGCTTACGAGGCTTTTACGTTCAATACCGAGGAGTAAGGGTCTGATATAACCAATACCGCGGCTTTATGAAGTTTAAGCTACTTTAAAAATAATGAGATACCGTGAAATCTACGATGACGAACAAAATTGAGTTTGAAAACACATATCTGACCTTCCGTACCGAAGGGGTAAAATAATTGTCACTTGTCAGTTTCGCTTTTCACTTAATTCACATTAACTTTCGATTCTGCCTCAGCGTGCGTCACGCTTTTTCCCACGAACGGGTGATCTGAATTGCTGCTTCGATTTTAATTCTTTCCGTCTATGTTTATAAGCTGCACCCGTTCATGAATGACAACCAACTGCGACTCAATTAGGAACAGCAGCAACTATTCAGAGTAACAGATGTAAATATGAATAATAGGTCGAAGCATCGTAGTGACACTAAAGACCCAATCTTGTCTTTGTCGAATTCGCTTCTTGTTTCTGGCGAAAATTTTTAAAATTACGAAGTTATTTTTCAATGAAAAATCAAAACACGAGTACCCTGATAGTTCAATACGTTATCTGTGCATTTGCATAATGGAGAGCAAAAATTTTCCGTAAACCCTTCAGACCAAGTGATTTTCAATTTCATTTTCCATCGACTAGAAACTTCGATGTAGGTCCTTTCATAGAAGAAAGCGCAAATTCACCGGCAAGAAACATAGGCCTGATCTTAAGAAAACCTGAAAGCTCGTTGCTTTTTGACACGTCATATTGTTAAAGAACAAAAAGGCATCTCAAAATTTTCCCATATCGTGAATTATTGCTTTCCGCGCTGGGCGTAAATCGTAAATGACAGACAAAATATAAACAGCAAAACACAAACCTGAAAGCGCAGATTCCAGCTTCACCAAGTTAAACATTTGATCGATATTTCTTACAATAAAATCCAAAAACATCAACCATATATATACTGATCAATCGTAGTAACGAAGTTCACAGAAGGCGAGTAATATTATAGCCTGCATTTGTTACCTCTTCAAATGTCAGCTGTACATTGGGATTATTCAAGAGTTTTATAACTTAAGCCTCCTTGTCGGAACTGTCGATTATTCAGACAAATTTAACCACGTTTTCATCGGTGGCAAGTGAGGGACGTTTTTGTAAATGATCGATTTGAAACGAGCCAAGCGGCCACCGTCTCGCCCTCGACGTTAAAAGCGCATACAATGGTATTGAACAGGAAATATCGGACGACTGTACTCAAAAAAAATTTAGCGACTGGTTGCGCCGACATGTCTCGCATAGCTTACAAAACTACGCCCGTGCAATGCCATTCTTTCATGCGGTTTTTCGAAATCATTTCAACTCACCTAAATCGAAGTTGTCACACCAATGAGAGGTGAAGATAGATTACTCTTGAGAGTGGTGCTCGAAGTCGTTCGACAGATTTTGCTCAACAGTATTGAAGCCAAAAATAACCACAGTTGAAGCGCTGTATTCGAGAGGAGCTCGCGTAATTAAAACGTGCTTATGGCCCAAACAATCCCACTCATCGGTGATGCGAAGGATATTTTTACCGGCGAACAATACGAGTGGAGATCACAGTTCATTGCGCTGAGGGTACCGCGTTGAATATTCATGTTTTGTCGGTAGCGTCGGCTGTGCCTTATGCTAATTGAAAAAGGCTCCAAAGTCAATACGGCAGGTATTGGGTGTCACTTTACTGGTCTCAGTTGTATATGGTTATTTATAAAGGTGTCAACAAATAGGTCCCAGTCATTACTTTCCTTAGGGATTTTTTTTAAGGCTGTGTAACGAAAGACTTCCCTGTGGTCTGAATTTAATTAATGTAACCTTTTACACCGCTAATATTACTATTCATGTTCTCAATACTTTTTTGTCTTCTTCCCTTTGCTACCAACAAGGAGAATTCCTTGAACAATCAAATCCTTTTAGATAAATTGGTGATCATTTCTCTTTTCTCCTGCTCTTAATAAATAATTCAGCAGTATTACTGTAAGAAGATATAAGATGTTGGTTACTCGCATGGAGTTAATCCTTAAGAAGTATTTCCAATGGCGAAGCATATGAGAGCGGACCTAAATGATACTAGAGAAACCCACATAACACTGATCCATTCCCCACCTCTGTCACCGAAAAAAAAAAAAAAATTTAAAAGTAGTATGTGGGGGAAAAGTAGTCAAAAATCAAAGAGGGAGAAAGAGACTGGTTCCCATTCCCAGTCACCCCTCCCTTGTCAGGGGTAATTCCACGCTAACTATTAAAACTCCCAGATCAAACTTGTAATTTTTCCAGTAAGGTTAACCATACAATTCTTGTAATGTTACTTCAGAGAATTCAGTATTAGATCAACTAATTATCCCCAAAGTGATCTTTTCTTTATTCTCATCACTTATCTGCTTGATATTGTATTGATATTGTTTGGAGAAATTCTGTTTTGGTCACTAATGGGAGTTAAAGGGTTAAAAGAGGGACTTATGATATTAACCATTAGCCGTAAAACGGCCAAAATTGCAACCGTTAGCCATAAAATGGCCAAATTTCAAATGTTAGCAGTAAAGTGGCCAAAATTTCAACTGTTAGCCGTAAAATGGCCAAAATTTCAACCGTAAGCCGTGAGAGCCATCACTCTATGAAGACCCTCTTAAATGAAAAGAAACACCGTTTAGCGTTGTTGAATAGATAGGCCTTAAAAGAAAAGCTTTATAAAAGATTCTCTATTCGATCTGTTTTTGATCTTCTTTTAAGTCAAAGATTACAGTTTAAGACTCTGAATAAGCTTTAAAGAAACTTATGGAAAAATCGGGGCTAAACAAATAAATCTGAAACTACAGGGGAACGACTTTTAGGAGGGCCATAAGCCATACCCCACGCAATCGAATAGGAAGGATCAAGCAGTTCTTTCTTCTATAATACACGTAAGATTTGTGGGAAGTCTGATACTCCAAGGTTTAACTGGGAATTAAGACCATTTGGAAGAAATACACCAGTTGATAAGGTAGTTATGTTGTTGTCTTAATTAGCTTGCAATGTAATAGCGGGATCTTTATAACAAAGGAAGATTCTGCTGAGAGTTAATCGGATTTTGTCTTAGCGAATAACAGCGAGATCTCACAAGCGGAACCGTCGAGCTCAAAAATACGAACATTTTTGTGAGTGATAAAATTAATAGGTAAAAAAATCTCATTGCTATGAACTAGGTAATTAAGCTGTAGAGATTTACCATTTGAAATTATTCCTTTGATGCTTTGTATTCAAGCTAAAATTTTCTTCACGAGCAATGGCTTCGTTTTGTTTGGTTGATTACTTCCGAGACCTTGTTCTGTCTTCAGCTCAGTGTGCTAGCTTACTCTGAGAACTAAGCCGTTTAGTCTACCTTTGTGGCCGGCGTGATCGATACTACTCACTGAAAAGAATTTAAGGCTCTAAGAGCGCCATGTATGCATTAAAGGCGCTGTGGCCGACACCTGCGCTTTTCACGTTATGTAAAGCCGTTCAAATAGACCTGCAAAAGTAGCTCGTCTCCTCCAGGAAAAACGCATCATCAAGGAATAGTTAAATTAAGCTGCACAGTAAGAACGAAGTAATCGACACAACAGTGGCAAATTGCCCACATATAAAGCACCCTCTTGAGAAAGCTTTTCCAGATCTTTCCATCAAGCGGATTGAGAGGCCATAAGGCAATATCAAATAGTGAATTTTGTAAAACATCGTTTTAACTGATAAAGAACTTGTCATAACAATATCAAACCCCATGGTTTTTATTTTCAATCCATTCAACCCTGTAAATCCATTTTTTATTTTACACACAGGGCCGAGGCCATTAATCCTTTAGGAAGAAGACTCTCAACTAAAACCCAAACGAAAAAAAAGAGGAAAAAAAGCACAGAAATTTTGTGCCACTTAAAGCATTCTGTTACTCAAGGCGTATGATACACTTGACGCAAGCCGTTCCCTCCTCCCCTCAGCTTGGATCTTTAGGTCTGCGTCAATATCGCCTATCCATTGCAACCACCTTAGTCTAGCTCTAGTCTGTACGAGTTATTCTTTTGTGTAAGAAGTCTAATGAGGTGTACATAATAACGAAAGGTGACCATCGTTGCTAAGTGACCGAGTAGCAGACAAACTGTTGACCGCAGATCGCGTGATTTACGCCTAACTGGGTGCAGATCAAACCTCGACCTCAAAACCTGAAGTCTGATAACATGTTTAGTGTCTAGAAAGAACATCAATTCTTACACAAATTTAAAAGCTCTTACTCTTGAAAAAAGACGCCCTACTTTTAATTCTTAATTCAACACTACAAGTGCGACGATTTTGCACCAATCGAGGTAACGTTTATTAGCCCACGTAACCTCGTTAAGCAGCAATTAAGAACGTAAGGGCAACATATATATTGCAAAAGAATATCCCTTTCAGTTCGTCGCGCGAAATCCGTAGAAAGACCGGCTTAGACTTTCTTGGCAGGTTTTGATAATTTCAAAATAGAACAGGGTTTCAGACATACATTTACATGGAATTCTCTCAGCCAACTGTTAATTACTTGAACCAGGTTACCGAGAGCCAGGTGGTACGTACCTTTGCCAGATTGCGATAAGATTCGCCCAAGCGATGATGAAAGATTACTTTTTTTTTCCTTGCTTTTTCAAAACTCCAATCGAAGTGATGAGCAGACATTGCATACGACCGTCAGTAAATAACATCAATCAAATGGTAGATTATGCTCACGATAACCATACGATAACATTTCTGGTCGTTCCGGTTCTGTAAACGATAATCGATATCCGCCTCTGCCAGTCAGATAAGGCGCTCAAAGGGCAGTAAGGCTGGTAAGTGGGTGTAGTGCGTAATGCAAGCCCACTTAAATAGTTCTTTCAGCATTTACTTCATTTCCGATAACATGATTCAAAAATTAAATTGAATATGCTGAACAATAACGCGTGCATGCAGCGCCAATTAGCCCCGCACGAAAGCCATGGAAATCAAAACATTTTCTTTGCATGTCATGCAGAGGTATAAAATTAGCAAACGCTGTTCTCGGTGCAAAAATACTACCATTACATATAAATACATCTACCGCCTACACGCACCACTCCTGTAAGGTGACTCAATCTTTGCTAAGTAACGAGTAGGTTTAACTAATCATTACTATTTTTACAAACCAGGGTAGTACAGCGTACTTTGTCTCAAATGACCGGCAAGTCTAGAAATGAATACTATTGAAAAACTGCTCATAATTAATCCTTTCAGAACGACCCAATCAAAAAAACCTACAGTTATCACGGCACGCCTTGTTTTCCCTATCCTTTTTACCAGTAAAAACCATATCATCTTTCACGATCATTTTTTTCAATGGCGGGTGCAACATGAGAGGTTGGGCGACTAAATAATGCCTCGCTCTCGTGTACTTCATCTACTTCCTGTTGTACATTGCAGTACATACCTCACGTCCTCAACAGGGATAGCCACGTGCCACGTGGCTACATCCCAGTGTGTTGCATAACAGAGGGGTTCTAACATAATCGCTGCCTTTAGAAAAGCAATTTTCATTAAAAATCAATCTCATACTTCTTCCTAAGACAATTTTTTTTCAACTTGTGTTTTCTCTTACCGTAGTGTATTTCGCCGGCCAAGGGTGATGATTGAATAGCTTTTGTATGGATGTTCTCAATAATTCCAACACTGTTCGATCTTCCAAGAGCTTGTTTTTTCAACTCAGAAGAAGGGGAAGTAGAAGCTGTAAATCAAAGAGAGAATAGTGTTATAAAGTATTTTAAATCGACATAGTCAGGCCGGTGATAAAAATAAAAGATAAAAAAATTATAGTAAGATAACAAAGAAACTTCAAGTTATTTCAGTTTTTGAGAAAGCTTTTTTTTTTAAACCATTATTTAATGGATTTCACACGTTGGTGAATTTCGTTCCACTATGTTGGACAAAATATATATTGTCATAGGCTCCATGGTTTTTCGAGATCAACAACTGAACAGATGCAGCTTTCAAAATATTTTAAGAAAAGGTGTGGATGCGTATCATGGTGGAAGAAGGAGCCCTTATCTTCAAGGATATAACAGACTCCGCAATTAACTTAGTTTAGCAGCGTGCCATCGAGATGACCACGTAATAACAACAATGATCGAGGAGGCACCTAGGCATGAATTGCTTCTCTAAGTTTTGACATCCAGAATAAAGAAAAAAGCTGGACTAATTTTGTATTCTCAAGGAACAGGGAAAAAAAGCTACATGATAAGAGTTTTCTGGTATGCTGATTCGATTAACGTTTGTCATAACAATTGTGATTGATAAACACATAATTATAAACAGAATGTTGTTCAGGTAACCAATTATCTTTTAATTAGAGAATTTCAGATGTTTTTTTTATATCAAATTCTGCTTTTGCGTGTTTTATCAATATGAAAATAAGAAGCGTGAGAAGTGTATTGCCAATTATCTTTTAATTAGAGAATTTCAGATGTTTTTTTTATATCAAATTCTGCTTTTGCGTGTTTTATCAATGTGAAAATAAGAAGCGTGAGGAGTTTATAACCAATTATCTTTTAATTAGAGAATTTCAGATGTTTTTTTTTATATCAAATTCTGCTTTTGCGTGTTTTATCAATGTGAAAATGAGAAGGGTGAGGAGTGTATTATTGATCACTTCCAAACCTATCCATCCCCTCCTCCCAAGCTAATGTAACCCCCAACCTTTCTATACCCAATTCCGTTTACTAAACCACGCAAGTATTAGGTTTACGGTGAAGGCGCCAAACAAGCTGACGATCCAACAGAGTGGAATCGACGGGTTAAACCAAGATAACCTGAGACACTCTGAGATAAAAACCCTGACACACTCTGAGATAAAAGCCCTAACACACTCTTTAGTGTTGGAACAATTAGCGTAACAGGAGTTTGATCAACCGTCCGTGACGAAAAGCGATAAAGGTTTAACCTTAAATTCGATAGCACAATGTGGACTTCGATTAGTCTGCCGTATGCCATGTAACACAAGCAGATTGCGTCGTTAACCGCGTCTCAAACTCGACTTACTGGATATAATCACTTTGAATGCAGTCACCTTAAAGAAGCACTATTTTTGTGGTCTAGTTTGAAAATTATACCACCAAAATAAAAGAGATGGAGGGCCTTGCTAATGAGGGGCATTCACCCGTCAAAGGCAATTTCCGTTGTGTTGTTGCCTTCTCCGCCAGCTATCTGTTATCGGAAATACGAAAAGGAAAAGACAAAGAAAATCATGTCCCGTAAAATTCCTTCAGTCCGATATCTCCACCCATGACTTCAAGAATTTGTTGGTGTTAGATAAGTTTGTCAATCATCGTAGGAAACAGAGTAAGTTGAAAGGAATTTTGGGACGCTCCGCAATGAAATCATTGTACAAATATCGTACCGTGATAAACCGCTAATGATGTCTGCTGTTCCAAAGACATTGAAACCTATCAGATTCACGCCTATAGGTGGCCAAACGATTAGGCAAGTCACGAAATTTAGAGATAATTACAAAATAAAAATTAACCAAAAAAGGGAAGCAAGTATCTACGATCTCTCTAAAGGCCGCTTGTAAAAATTCTTTTTCCCCATTAAACTCCGTGAAATTGGCGCTCATTATACATAATAGTAATACATGTAGTTGCAGTCATTACATCTTACTAGAGAGTTAGGCTTATAGTTACATTTTGTGTCGTGCGCTTTCAATCAATCCAGCGAAACTGGTTAACGATTGGGAGAAAAGGGGAGAGCGATTTTTTCTTTTCTGCTAAACGAAAGCTTTAAGGGCACTTAGGCAGAAGACACGCAATTTTTTTCTTCTTTGTGGGAGAATCAAAGGACGATGAAAGAAAGGCCATTCTCGAAATCTCGTGTACCATTGTCTGTGAAAACCATGCAATTTATAAACAACTACTTACAAATAGATGTCAGTTGTGAACAAACTTACCAGGGAAAGGAGCATAGCCATAAATGCTTAACAGCAAACTGCCTTGCTTCAGATTATTTGCATTTGGATCGCTTGTAAGCGGGCTACTATCCGCTGAAACGCTCATCTCTGGGCGAAGAAAAGATGCTTCAATGATCACTTGAGTCGAACGCGCGTCATTTACAGTTCTTGTTGATAAAATTCTTTTGAGACCTCACGGTGGAAAACTCGCATGGAATCGACACTTCGCTGTCACCGCTGACTAAAGCATATTTCCCTTTGTTGACCTTTTCAAAAACTACGTGGACTCCTGCAGCAGAGTGAAACATAATACCCATGCATTTTTAAGCGTCCGTCGACCTTCATCTGCCCATCTGACCTTTCGTTACCGGTATATGACGTACATATACTACCCGCTCGTAGATAAACATAAAGGAAACTTCAAAGTAGATTACCTGTTCTCGGCTTACATAAAACACCAAATAATTTGCGACGTAATCCCCTCTAATCCGTTGAATTGTTTGACACAATTTTACCCTTTCTGCGTTAAGAACCAACCACTTTCTTTGTGAGTAAATATACTTTGTTACCGAGCGTCCCACAGAGACTCATCTTCCATTGAATTTTAGATCCTATTCAAAGCGACTTCTCCTCAGGGGAGACTAATCCATTCATCAAAGAAATATTTGGTGAACTTACTCAATTCTGAAATGCTTTTTTTGTAAATTTACAAAAACACCTGATGGGTGCCAAGAATTGACTGGCATGTTTTAGTGTTTTCATTGGATCTTTTGAAAGCGGCGAGTATAAATAGATTTTTGCAGGATACCGCCTAGGTTAAAAAAAAGAGATCAATTTCTAGACGTGTGGTAATCGTTGCAAGGTGATTATCGAAGCACTGTCATTAAATGACACAAATGTGTCATGCCCGTGATTCACTGATATTGAGGGGAAGAGTACACCATCTTTTTAAAAGGAACTGAAAATCGTATTTACACAACATTCCAGCGCTGTTTGAACATGCCTTAGGTTTGGCCTTATTCCCCAAAATCGCGTTTATTGAAATTGATTAAAATTAAGCTCTTTAGCTTCAAGGTGAAAAAGAGAGGAGAAATATATAACTCAAGGGCAACATTCTTTTAACCTAAAATAATGGAGAGTTCAAGATAGCATCCATGTTGATCACTCTACAGAAGAAAAACCTGCAAGTTAAAACGACTCACATGAAAGGTGCATAAAGTATGCAGTTCAAGTCGTGGGGAAAAAATATGGCAAAAAAATTCGACAGCGTGAACAACCACGTTGTCATGGTAACGTTTTCAAGGACGTTGGTTGGAGCCTGGTACCGAACTGATCCCTCGCACAAAATAAATTGGGTGGAGAAAGATTTACTTTTTAAAAAGTGTGACGTGATCCGAGATATCAGTTAGATGAAACAGGATAAAAAAAACTTGCGTTAGAAAAGCATTTAACCTTCGCCTGTCGGTTGCCGGCGCTTGCGCTCATCTCCGCTAACCAAGAAGTTGGAAAAGACTATGGCTAGTTCTTTCTTTAAAAAAAAAATAAAACAAAAAAAAAGCACAACATTTGGGATGTCTGAGTTAAGTCTACGGTAACTCACTCGGTTGAACGGTTTATGAATTGTGCATCGCATACCTTTCACTAGGAAAGAAGGAGCAACCACAGGGTCGTTTCGCTGAACAAGGGTATGCAACTCAATCTTTAATTTCATGTTTAATGACATTAAGACCCAGAGATGTTGTTTATGTATTCCACTTCATTGCTATGAAGCAAGTTCCCAGCTGCATCCCAGCTATATTTGTACGCTGTGTTACTGTCGCTCCCACTACAAACAATCGCCACAACAACAACAACATAGTTTTCATCATCATCAGCGTCATCAACTATAACGACATCGACATTATAAATGGTCAAAGGAGATTCGAATTAAAATAATCATCAAAGGCAACGTTATTGCATTACACCACAACAGGGGATTGGCCTTTTTACGCGTACGCGTACTGTATCGCAAATAAAGTAAAAGTGATAGCCACTTACGGATTATATCATGATAGTGGATTTTCGTAAACCTTGCCCTGTTTTTATTCCAGCAATGTGAGAGTATCTTACTCGCACTATCAGTGCACTTAATTAGGTTTGATTGGATTTCATATCTTTTATGTTGGTCTCACAATGATCGTGTAAAACTTTATCCAATTGCTATGGAAGGAATTTTCTACTCCATACTAATATTGTGTAGAATCTCATTGTTGTTGCTACGCAAACAAAAAATTTATGACCGCTTATGTCTCCGCTGGGCTAAAAAGTCAATTCCCGTCACGGAAGGAATCATGTAGTCTCCGACAGGACACTGGGCTCGATTACCAACCGCTGTTTGAGAAAAGCTCAAAGTTCTCCTCGAACCGACATTATGGCAATGAACAGCAATTAACTCTCATAATTAGGTCAATTCACCAAACTAATTCTCTGAACAAAGGAGGTAATTTTTTATAGAAACTGTGGTGCTGCATCAGTGGGGCGGGGAGGAGGAGGGCATAACAAGTTTATTTGGTTTTATCAACTGAGTTGAAAGTGTAAATTGGCCACCAGAAAGAGTTTCAAAGCTGACGTTTCGAGCATCAGCCCTTCGACAGAGCAAAACTGAAGGTTTGAGATGGGAAGCAGCGGGCTTTCAGCTGCGGGAATTCACATGGAAAATTTGAGGCTGAATCAACTGACAAAAACAAAAGAAAGGAAATACTGAGTGGAAATTAAATAGAGACATGTTGAAATTCGAATGACTCATGTACATTATAACAGAGGTGCGCTCTGGTAACAGCTATTGTGTAATGAATCAGCATCGCTGGTTTTTCGAATGATTCAACTTCAAGTTTTGATAATTTCAAGAAATATAAACAACGTTGTAACGTTAGATTTGGGGGCCATTCAAGAAATAGTCGTAAAAGAAGACGTCTACTAAACTACATGAAAATGCAATCTTACCTCGTCGTATCATCGAAAGAGTACGCGCCGTTTCACCATAATATCAGCGGCTGTAATTTAAATCCCATTTAAAGCGAAATCGCATTTGTTATTCTGAGTCAAACTTCCAGTCCTCTAGGAGATTTTGTACGTTTTCTTTAAATATCTGAGGAAGCGAGTAATGTGAGGTCGTCTCCGACTCTAAGAACAATTGGAGGTCGCTCAGTTTCCAGAAAGTCAACAAGCTGTTGTTGAAAAAGCCAATCAAAATGCCCAGTTGGAATCCAGCCAGGAGTGGCGTGGCAAGATTAAGCGGTACAGACTGGTTGTAACATCGGACAGTGAAGGAGATATTTTGTCTTTTAGAGGTCTGCTGTTGAGTAATATTTTATTTTCGGGATATTTTAAAAGCAAAGAAAACAAAGTTCAGAAAATAATTGCACCCCACGAGATCGTCTCTGCGGATACTGTACGTTTTTCTTGGGAAGATCTATCAACGTAAGACAGAAAGGTGTGGTTAGGGTGGCTTTTAATCTCTCAGCAGGAGTGTAGATCTATATGAAACCCAGACGTAATTTTTTTTTGACTCTAACAAGGCCTGAGGTGGCTATTTCTTCTGATGACTTCTTTCCCCGTTTTTTCTTGATCCACATCTTAATAAACCGGGCTTATCTTATTTAGCATGCAATATTTCTTGATTTTGAAGGGAAGAAAAAACCCAAGTAATTCTAAATATCAGTTTCACAACAGAGTTTATTTACTTTAAACTTGAGAGCTTTGACCCTAAATCCCAATACCTGGTTACCAAAAAACAAAAAGAAAACAAGGCTTTTCATTTGTATCATGAATATAACACAATCAACATAAGCAACTGAAGAGATATTTACTCCTCACTAACCTTCCTCAGCATCAATGTAAACCTCATCCTCAGGCTCAACAACATCATCCACAGGATAAGTAGCTCGGTTTGTAACTAGAGCTTCACCTTTCTTTCCTATAAAATAAAATGATACAACAAGAAAATCTCAATTCAGATTTGTAGAATGCGTTTTGGTATTTGCGCAAAAGCATAATACAACTACAAATCATAGCCAATAAAATATCAAAAAAGCCACCCGTGAGAGACGCCAAACGCGGCAAAACACGCGCGATTCAATTAAAGGCAACTGCTTCCAAAGCCAATCACACACATTTTCACAGCATGAAATTATAAATTTACGAATCCGTAAAGATGCCGTAAAGTAAGCGTTAAGATCCTCTTTACGCGTCTTTACGAACTTCTTTACACTTTCGCAAAGAATGTCTTTACGCATTGAAAACGGTAGTACGTAAAGATCACGGAGAGAGACTAAAAACGCCATCTTTACGTGCCTTGTAAAAAGTCATATAGAGAATATTTACGATATTTTATGACGACTGTATTACTATTACTACTGTTAAAGACGCGTAAAGTGTTAAAAGCGAAACTGGTCAAAATACCACGGTAATTCTACGGAAGATGGATGAGCTATAATCATTTCACTTCTTTGAGTATTTCTCCACATAGAAAGTTATAGCGGAGCTCGTAGAGCGTAGCCTCATAATTATACAAAATTGTAGTAACCCATCGAGCCGAAAAAATTTGGATGTACGACCGTACGACCGTACAAGGTGCCACTTTTAACATGCGTGGTCAACTGTACCGTGGGCACGCCAACGCCACGGCTTCGACCACTAGTCCAATGGTCAGTGCACTGGGCTCCGAGTCGGACGACCCGGGTTCTAGTCCTGGCCGGGGCAAGGCGTCGTGCCCTTGAGACGTGCGGGGAAAAAAATGCGAGCTCCACTTTTAGGCTTGGCTAAATCTATACATTATCCATCTTGATGATCCTTATCCTTTACGAACATTCAATGTTCTTTACGCAGTCATTACGCTTTCTCTGCATTTACGGAACGCGGAACTTGTCCGTAAAGAAGAGGCTTTATATTTACGTTCTTTACGCAAGAGTTAAAGATGCGTAAATTTGCGATTTCACGGTATGTATTGTAACAACACAAAACTGCATGAATTCAGGAGTGCATCCGACGCCGCTTTTATTATCCTATATTATCATAGTTGTACCCTTCCAATCAAAATGGCGCCGAGGCCACGTGCGACGTATACTC